GCAATATTACCAAGAGTTGGGGGGGGGATATCCAGCATGCTTTTTGTACATAAATGAGCTTATAGAGACTTACATTTTAAAATTCCTGCTCCAAGCCACCCACACAAACATAGCTATAAAATACTCTAAAGCAAATGACAACTTCTTCAAAGAAAGTGACAAACTTGAAAAGAAAGTAATATATAATATCTAATCATATTTACTGAAAAGCAGTAGTTTTGGAGTCAAGAAGTGAACAATTTAATTTCTGCTCACCAGCATGGTATGTATGTTTGAAATGTTGTCTAAAGAAAATTAAGTCAAAAATTCATAACAAATAGCAAATAAAGGAAATTTACTACCATCTTTTTAAATGTAATATAAATTTAGATTAACACAGACGTGTCCATGGAGGACAGGGAAAGGTGAAAGTGAAAAGGAGAGAAAAGAGTTTTTGAAAGAATCATTCAGAAAACAAGGAATTGAAGTTTTTTACTCTACTACCACCTCAAGCTTCCATTCCATCTCTTTCCCTACCAAAGTTCTTGAGAGAATATTTAGATCAACTTCAGTGTCCTTGTGATAAAATCACTCACTGCTGGTATGCAAACTGGCTTAGGTCTGTCTCTGTTTGAGTGCCTGGGCAGGATGGCCTATTTTCTCCTTTGCCCTCCAACATAATAGCTGGGTAGAAAATAGGGCCTAAAACAAGCCAAGGGGGTGACAGGTTGTCATAGACATGTCAATAATAACCTTTCCAAAACACATTGTTCAAAGCTTGCTGAAAATGGACATTTTGGGGGGTAAGACTGTATAGTGACATAGAAGCCTTTCCATTGTTAACCTGGTATGGTAATTTTTTAAGGTCAGCAGGAAAGGTAAATGAAGTGAACCCGCTTTTTAGAACTGTTGTCATAAACAAATGTCAGGCATAATTCTAATGGTGGTGGCTTTCCCCCAGATTCTATAGTTTCACGTTTTCAACCTACAAAAAGAGCAAGGGTTTTGTCGAAGATCAGGGTGCCATTTCTGTCTTGAACACAGAACGAGAAACTAATGAAATAATAAATTCCTTTGAAATCATTTATATCAAAGTGCATCCAGCTGCTAAGCATGTGGATCTGTTGACATGCATAAGTTCTCAGAAGTGTATAAGCCACAATGAAATTAAAATTCATTAAGGCAGAAAAGCTAGCTTCTTGGGCTGGATGTGCATGCTTTGTTAAGTATCTCAAGATTACAAGAGTAAACATATTACAAATGTGTTGTCACCATGTTCCTGAAAAAAGTGTGATGGCAATGAAGATTCTCAAAACAATTCTAGAAAAAAATGAAGAACTGTTCCTAACCGAACAGCTGTAACTTCCTAGTTGGAAAGGCTGGCTGAACTATTAGCCAATCTTAGTTCTCTCAGATGAAAAGCATCCCCTCATTGACTCAATCCCAAACAGGGAATATTCTGTTTTCAACTTTTGATTTGTGAAACTGCTTCTTTTATTACAACTGTCATTAAAAAAAAATTCAATCTTACAATAAGTGTGACTGAAGGGGCTTGAGTTGTGGCTCAGCGGTAGAGTGCTCACCTAGTTTGTGTGAGGCCCTGGGTTCGATCCTCAGCACAAAATAAAAACAAAATAAAGCTATTATGTCCGACCACAACTAAAACAAATTATTTTTTTTTAAAAAAAGTGTGACTGAAAAAAAAATAAAAAGAAACCATAGTATATTTGTTAAAGGTCAATCAATGAACTACATAAGAATAGAAGGAATAAAAGAGGAAAAGTTAAGTCAAAGGTTAAGATAGGGCATTATCAAACACCCTAAATGGACCTCAATTTCCTTTTTCCTCCAAGACCCTACTTTGTTTGAAAATTACAATTTTGCACAGAACTTTGACTTCTGATGCTTTTGGAAACAAGGCTTCATACATCAGGAATATACATAAAGTAACGTGTCAAACAAATCTCTTATGAAGTTACAATTAAACTTAGGGTCATCATTTAAAATTTTCATTTAAAAACAAATAATTACAAGAGAACGATGTCAGATTGAAAACAATGTCAAACTGGGCTACTTCAACTGAACTGCATTATGTTAGGTCAATAATAATTTACTGGATAATTTTGTTCTTAGAAGTGAAGGGAAATTCTAGTTCTCCAACAACATAATATAGCACAAACCCAGTTGGAGGAAGATGGCACTTTGTTATTTTCATCCCTTTCCTGGCAAAAGTTTTTACTTTTGCCAAGATCTATTATATAGACATAAGGGACAGGGCACAAACAATGAAAAGACAATGGTAATGGATAAGAAACTATTGAGAAAAACAAATATGAACAAGAAGACCAATGGGAAGATAGAGGAATAAACCCACATAAGTATAATGATTCTGAGATACACAACTGCATAAATGCATAAATAATAATTTCTTCTAAAAATTAAATTTCAGAAAAATTCTGTACATTTGATAAGCCAAAATTATCTAAAAATCTACTAAGTATAAACCATGAAAAAATATAATGAATGTTGAATGACAGTATATAAGAAAATAAAACTGGACCAATGGCAAATTTTTAGGGGAAAATGAGTTTCCTAAGGATACAAATCCATCCAATGATCCCATACACAGTGTTTGCTTTGGATGATTCATTATGCAAAGGTGTAGAGTCTAGAGTTGAAGAAAACAATCTCATCTATCCCCTAAAGATCAGGCAATTACAGCACAGCTGGTATGATAATTTCATTAATAACTTGTAGCATAGTACACTGGTGTTGCTAATGCCAAATTACAATCAGTCACAAATACTATTTCTTTAGTTTGTTAAATACAGAATATATTATTTAATCTCTGCTTTGTTTTAATTGCATTTTACTTCATGAAACAGAATGCAGAGCAAAATCTAAAGTCTTGGAAGACTTCCCATATGTTATTATTTATATACCAGATAAGAACCAGTGACTTTGTGGCTTGAGAGGCATACTGAGAGAGACAAGATGATACTGTATGAAGCAGCATTTTCTGAAATGCTATGTCACATCAAAAGAAATACTATTAATCTCAGCTGAGAGAAGAAAATCACATAATGGACAACTAAGACCCAAGAGAAGGTTTCATTGAAAATAGATTCTAACTTCAGGGCTTTATAGCTTTACAAAAATAAATCTAATGTTACCTTCCCTGATAGATAATTCGGCCAACTTCAGAGCAATAAAATGAATGTCTTGAACTACAAGGAGGGGGATAAGGAAAGCATCCTGTACATCAATCAATTAGGCTCCGTTTTACTGGCTTGTCAAGTATTTATCAGCAACTTTAAATCCAAGAATTATGGGAGCTCAAAGTAGCTGGTATCTTTGGGCTAACAGACTACTTTGCCTATTCCTAAATCTCTCCAGAGCATAAAGACTGCAATTTCATTTGGTAGTCCATTTCAGTGCTCAGTTACTACCTGTCAATGCCTACTTTATTTCTTTTCCTATCCATTTTGGAAGACCTTGATACAATGCTATTTTATTTTCCCAGATGAGCAAACCAATTGATGCAACAATACTTCCTTTTCCAGTACTTTATTCACTAGTCTTACTTTTATTAACCATAGAGAAAAACAGCTAATTCTAAAAATGACTTTTGTGTACCTCCTTTCCTTTAATCCTAAAGGGGGAATTTTCACCAGTCATTCAATGATGTCCCGAAATACAGATCTCAGAGCAACCCTCTTTGTGACAATTCATAAGAATGCTTAGGTCTTGAGAAAGAACAGTTTAGTTATTTTTAGGAGACATCATAATTTTCCCTCATCCATATACCTTAAAGATCCCCTCGAAAATCCACAAAATTGTATCTCTCCATTAATATTTATATATGATCTATCTAACATACACAAAAGGAGGGAATTAATCTGATTTAACACAAAGCAGGAAACAGACAGCCACTTCTGCAAGACAATTACAAAAACTCTTCTATCAAATCTTGCTCAGAATTTGATCCTGAAAGCAGCTGTAGCTCAACCACACCAATTCTTCCATTTATTTTCTGTCCCTAAAGGACAGCTCACTGGAGGCATACTTTCTCCACCAATCTTCAGACCTAATAAAGTCAAAGTGGAAGACAAGGTTCTCAATGACAGCAATATTATCATTTTGGATAGAGGACAATCTCCCTTGTGCTTGGAATGTCCTGAGCAAAGAAGGATGCTTGGCACCTCACCACCATCCCACAAATGTCAAGAGGAGTCTCAGGTATTGAGACCACTAAAAATGCCCCACACTCTTTAAAATCCTTTTTTGAATGGTCATGCTGAGATCTGCCAAGTCATGCTGATAATTGTAAGAGATTTACGGAGACAGGGAGAAGCCGAGGGGTTGAGTTATGTAGCTCCATGATAAAACACTTGCTTAACATGTACCAGGCTCTGGGTTAATCCCCAGCACCACAAAAAAAAAAAAAAAGGAGAAAAAAAAAACCATAAATAAAATACAGTAGCCAGATAGGGAGAAGCCAATTCTTGAAAATAAATATGCTAAATAAAGCATTTTTCTAAATTTAACAAAACCAGTAAAATATGTATCACTGCAGTATTGCAGGTACTTTTATTTTCATTTGGTCCATACTGCCAGTGAAGAATAGCTTCTGCTAATCAGGCAAATATAATGATTTTATAGTCCAGAGCCCAACCTGTTGTAGACTCAAGAAGACAAGAATTGGTTGGATTCAGCAGTTTCTGGGAAGTTTTACATTCCAAATTAGAGTTCTGGAGAGCAGAAGGTTGAAGACTGTATAAAACACATCTGGAAAAGCTGGATACACCTTTAAGGGCAATGTACAGATTAAGATGCCAAAGGACAGAGATGAAGAAGAATGAGGGAGGAAAAAAGGGAGGCAGGGACCAAGATAATCTTGAAAAGCAAGCAGAAATTGTGACTCCCTACTGCCTTAATTCTAAATACAATTACTGTACTTATCTAAAGGGAGCTGGTTGAGAGTCTGACCACACTGCAGGGAGGTACAGGTGAAGGCTCACCTTTGCTGGTTTTAGATGGTTCTGAGGACCCATTTCCAGTCTTCTTCTTTTTTCTTGGGACTGGTACACATTTCCGATCAAATGTAATAGGACTATATTGAGGGAGACTGTTGAATTTCTTTTCAAATTCTTCATCCAGCTTTACTGAGCTATTAAAATTGGGGAGAGGAATCAATCAGCACATGACCAAATACTTAAACAGAAAATGATACAAGACATAGTTTTAAGATATTGCATTTGAAAACAGGATCCCTAGGAATTGAGGCATTTTAAATAAATTTTGTGCAAAGAAAAGAAATCCACATTTTCTGACATGCTTGAATTTACCAAGTTTTCTTTGTAAACTCATATGACAAGATGCATCCTCTTACCTTAGAAAAGTAGAAATATTATTTAAAATATTAGAATATGTTTGAAGTGGGGAATCTGTCATACTCTCCATTGACATGAGAATTTCTCATAAAGTTCAGTACAAAGCATACCTTATTCAGTTTTTTCATTTTAAAGATTATATATCATATATATGCATATGTATTGACACTTATTAGTTTTATATATATATAGTTTTATGAGTTTTATGCTTAAGACATGTATACACACATACAAAGCACATAAAATTTGAATATCAGAAAAAAAATGGAGATCAAATTAAGATAAAAAAACACAATGAGAAAAGTAAAGCCAGTTTTCAATGAAGTGGTGAGAGGCAACACCACTTTAACTTATAGCACATATGACTAAAACTTCCACTGGCAAGGCTGGGAATCCCTGGAATGGCTTTGACTGTCTCCAAGGTCCCCATGGAGCAATGGGCTGCCTATCTGTTGGATCCTAGGCTGGCTGGTGGATATCATTCAGTGAGACTTATTAACTAAGACACTCTCGAGACAGATGGGGAAAGCTACAGAACTGCTATGCCTAGTAGATGGGAAATGGAAGGTGTATGGAAAGAGAGTAGCTTTGGTAATGTGTTTGGCTTCCAGCTATGAGATGCACTTGAGATATTCCCACCTAAAACTGTTCTCAGTTTTAGAGGAAGGTATGAGAGTTGTGAAGCAGAGGTAAGAAGGTCAGATGACCAACACAAATGTTAAAAGAAAATGGCCATTACTAAGAGGAGCAGTGGGAGGGTAACGGGTAGGACATACTCCTACCAATAAAATCATCTTTTCTCATCAATTAGAAAAAAAAAAGCTCATGCTGATAGAAAGTTTGCCATTAATCAGATATTATCAGAATGTTTTTTTCTTTAAGTCATGAGTTTGTCAGACAATCTGAATATCCATAAAAGACAACTGTGAAAATGCAGGACATAACTTACATGGTCTCTTGGGACTGTTTACATTTCTAAAGAGAACAATGATAATCATCTATGTTTTTTCTCTGGGAGACTTTTATAAAATTAGAACTACAAATATTAAACTGAATTTTTCTTGGCAGTAACTAACTAAACAAGTAGTACATTATCTGAGATTAAAAAGATAGTGTTCACCTACAAATCTCAAAGGAGATTGACAGGAACCATCATTTCTCATTGCTTAGGCACTATCCTGGCATGTTACAAACAAGGTAATACCAAACAGTTGGATCCTGACAGGTCAAAAAGTAGTTAAGAAAGAGCACTAAATTGTAGGGTTGATTTAAACCACCAGAAAAACACACTCTTAAATATATACGGGTGGCTTTCTCAGAAATGATGAAAATACTCATTTCTTTGGGGACAGATTTTTAAACACTGTTTCAAACTTATTCGGTTTCTCACCAGACTGGAGAACATCTCTTTCTCTCAAATTAGTTTCTAATAGAAGTATCAGAGTCAGTTCTACTGGGGAGCCTTGATGCTGGCTTTTTCACCTAGCACTTCTATAACGAGACCTGCTTCCCTCTTGTTGTTTAGACTCAGAAGGCACTGGCAGCTATTTTAGAAGATACAAAACAGTGGTTTAAAAGCTCAATGATCACTTTTTCGGAAATTCTGCATTGAAAGTATCATTTGATAATGACAAATGGGAGGAAATTCATGTCATTACTTAAGCATAATGTAAGCAAAACGAAGTTGAAGTACTTTGGATTTTTAGAATATTAGAAATAAAATATATACAATTATAAATATATTATTTCAATATAAATAATCTTGAGGAGCCAGCACCATGAGAAATAATTTCCATCCTCCCACTTTATGATGACCTAGAGTCTTAGAATTAACCAGACTTTAAAGCACTGTAATTTCTGAGGAAAAATATTATATTATTCCACAAATAGAAATGCAAATATTATGAATAAAATAAAATATACCAAATGCATAAAATTTGCATACTTTTAAGCACTTATGAAAAAACAGAGAATTATTTCCATTCAATGTATTCTTTTCAAATTGTGCTAATGAGAAATCTCAAAGGATTTTTAAAACAGTACAACCAAATATGCAGATACTTTCCTCACCAATACAAAAAGCACTGAATCTTACATATTATTAACAAAATGCTTTATAATAAGATTGTTATTGAAAGACTTTAGCATAAATTAAGTATGAAATGATTCTTCATGATTTTATCTTGATGTATACCACTGCTTGTTTACTACTACAGTTCAATGCACAGTTAATGCCTTGAATGTCCTTTGTACCATGAGAACATTCAACCTAATTTTTTCTACTTTTGTGTGCTAGGAATGGAACAGCAGGCCTCCTGCAAGCTAGGCAAGTATTCTACCACTGAGCCACATCCCCAGCTTCTCAATCTAATATTTCGATCTTAGAGCAACAGAAGATGGTTTGAACTAATCAAGGTTAGAGGTACAGAAGCATAATTTTATTTACCTAATGTTTTCCAGCTATCATATTTTATACACACATATGCATACATTTAGAAATATTAAGTGAATATAAATATAGTACTATAAATAGAATACATAAAATGGGCAAAATGTAAATATATTAACAATATCTATCCAAAGTTTCAGATATGAGAAAGGGTCCTAGTGATATTAAAGGATTTATAATACCACCACTGCTTATATGGTGGACCTTGATTTACACTCAGACTCAAGTGTAAAACCTACTTAAGTTCTATTGTGCCTAAAATGTGAATGGGGTTATCACACACATGAATGTATTAACAGCAGGAATTGTGTAATACACTTGATTTTTGTTTTCTAGGGAGCTTACTAAGTCTAAGTGACAACTGATTCATTCGTCCAACTACACGGGGGTCTGTGCAGTGCAGGTGGACTGAGCACTTACCCAAGGAGAGAGTCTTCCTTGGGCTTTGTCTTCTTGAACTTCTTGCTCCCACTGGTCCCACTCTGGTTAAAGGTCCAGCTTTCTTCACTCCAACACCCTTCATGATCAGAGGAGTTCCCTTTTCCTGAGCTTCGTTTACCTAAGGGTATTCAAGAAGAAAGCATGTGCTCAATACACAGGGATTGGGAGAAATCAACTTAGTTGTTTCACAGGTGAACTCTTGATTTCTTAGGTGTTATTTGTTTGATACTATCTGTAACTTACAGAGATGATTCACACTGGACTTTAATAATGGAACATGCAAAGAAGGTAACTAATATAACTTCTAGAATACGTTGTCTTAACAGATTACCACAGGATTCAAGAGACAGACCTAAGTTTTCCATTTGATAACCAGCTTAAAGCAAGCAAGCCCTCTGCTGATACATACTTCTGATTTCCTCAAGATTTACTGAAAGGACATCCCAGGAGAACTATGTATTCCCAAGTAATCTTCATTCAAAGCTTACTGACCTAGTGAAATATATCGTGGCAAGAGATAAGTACCCTAAGCAGATGCTATATTTTAAGATAGGTAAATTTACATGGAATAAAGGTATACACAACAATTAAGTTTCTGGGTGCTGTCATATTTAAAAAAAATTTCAATTACATTTTCAAGATCCTGATGAATATATCTGCTTCATTTAGAAAATTTTATCTGTTTTAACCAAATCAAAAGCTCCACTAGGGGCTGGGGTTGTAGCTCAGCGGTAGAGCACTCACCTAGCATGTGTGAGGCCCTGGGTTCGATCCTCAGCACCAAAGATAAATAAATAAAATAAAGGTATATAAAAAAAAAATCTCCACTATACTGATTTATCAAAATAATGAGCCAGCCCATACCAGTAAAATGAAAGAGTTTAGGCATTTTGAATATTTACATCTCAAGAACTATTTACAGGTATGTACTCTTCTGAATGGTGCTGGCAAACATTTAAGTAAAAAAATAATATGACCCACATACCACAGAGAACCCTCTGGATGTAAGAAGCTATCTGGATGTCATGTTGTCCTTTATGGAGATGCTTTTCAATGGGTCTAAAACAGACCTTCCACTTGGTTTTCATGTTCCTTTTAGGTTTGTAGCAGTTACTTACCTCTGTCAACATTAGCTCTCAGAGAGGTGAGCATGCCCTCAGACACCAGGGTTTTATAAAGAGCACCTTTGCAAGACCTCTCAGATTTCCTGGAACCACAGGTCTCTATTTTTCTGTGACAGTCATTGTCCTCAGGCTTAGCCTGTCCCGACAGGCTGGTTGGTAGTGCATCCTCTGTGGGAGTCAATGGTTCTGCTTTTATACCCTCTGGCACCTCACCAGAAATGTTCTTGCTGGCAGAAATACTAATGAAATCTGGAGGTCTTGACTCTTTGGTGATGTCTGAGGATTTCTCCTTTGACATTTTCTTCTCTCTTGATTTCACTTTTTTCTTTGGTGGCTTGGCATCCAAAATGCTTCCCTTGCCACTTGAGGATGTGCGGACCTTCTTTCGTGGGGATTCTCCAAGTTTGTCAACACCCCAGTCTCCTTTTGCAACAGCTTCAATGGTATATATGACACTCTCAATGTCAGATTCTGAAGACTGCCTCTTTTTGCATGTCTTTTTGGGTGTGGATTTATCATTTCCATGTCGATCCATTTTGCTTTTCTTCTTTTTCTTTTTTAGCTTTTCTGGTTTGGTTAGAGCAGTAGGGTCCTCAATGATCATAATTCCATGCGGATGGCACATGTGATCCTTTCTGTTGGGAACATCACTTATTATTATCTTGCTACTGGCAGAGTATGAAAAATCAGGGAAGTGACTGTATTTTTGATCTTCCTCTAATTCTTCCTTTCTAATTTCTTTGGGGTCTTCCATTTTTATAGCCATTACATTATCCATTTGTAGCTCCTCAAAATTTCTAAATTCCTTAGAATCTCTTATATTCTCCTTGGATGATTTTTCAAATTCTCCTTCCTTTTGTAACCCAGCTTCATCTGTTTTCTCTATTTTTATTTCTCTTTCCTCTTTTCCCTTCTCCAATTCTTTGATTCTTCCACCATCTGATTCTTTTGCTTTTATTAGCTTTGTTTCATCCATTTTCACTCCTTCTGATGCCAGGCACATCTAAACAGTTAAAACAAAAATGGAGAACAACACAAAATATCCTCATTATTCCATAATCAAAATTAGCTGCTAACTTTTCACTTCTACTCCTCTTTAAAAAATAATCACTACAAACTTTATTAGTCAGTGCAGTTCTGCCAAAGTAACTTACATGATTTAAATGAAAGTTCTGTAGGCAATGTGATACAATCATTAAACTCTAGACTAACATATATCTGAATCATCATTTCCAGCTTCATCAGAAGCTTTTTGTATGAAAATAACATTTGGTAGGAGGAGAATGGGACTTGGACTTAAAAGACTCAAGTTTGATTCTTAGTTTGGCTGCTCATTAACTTTGTGGCATGGGATGAGTCACTTCACTCCAAACTTCCCTGTAACCTTTGTAAAATGGAAATGATCCTATTCCAGAGGATCTTGTGAGGTCTATGTGAGACAAAGTACTTTCAGGGCTTATTTATCCCAAAACTCCCTTCAGATGTTTGCCTTCCTTGCATCCTTAAAGGGAAAAGGAGAATGGCAGGAGCGTCTACCAATCCAGTTGAAATTAGAAATGGCACAATGATCACTGAACCACTGCAAAAAGTTTCAATAGAAGAATAAAACATTATAGGTCCCCAAATGCTGACAGAAAACTCACTTAAAACCACAAAAGCTCTGAAAACAAAGGGGATTTCTGTTCATGTTATTTGTTTTTAACTCATTTGGCAGAAATTTCAATCTGATCTGAACTTACTTGGCTATAAATTCTGCCCTAAACCAACATGAAAACGTTTAATGTCTTAAATAGTTTATCTCACTTAATGACAATTCATATGTTTTTGCTATCAGAATATTCATTCATTTCAATATGCACTGTGGAAATTATATAGAGTAAGATGTATCTACTGTATCATTTTCCTAGAATCTGAAAAATTCCGAATGCAAAACACATCTGGTCCCAAACTAGTTAAATTTTTAATTCTCCAACAAAACTCACAACATTTCACACTTAAGACATTTAAGGGGAAAATTGCCAACTTCCTCTCCAGCTCATAGGTACCTTGAAACTTCAATTACAGTCTATTTTCTAGAGGAGTAAATGCAGCTTATTGTAAAATTAACTTTCAATATCTGGATTTTCATTCATAAATACCTAAGTGCAAGCTCCGAAATGCCATGGCCAAGTAGGATGCTTAAGGTATAAAAATCAATCAGGTCAGGTTTCTGCCTTTGAGTAATTTATCAAGAGGCTGATAGTGCCGATTTGGTCAAGGGCAGCATAGGATGTCTTAGCCATAACTAATTTTATTTACTTTGCATTAGCAACTTAGAGGGGAAAGAGTATTGAGGCTTGCTGAGTCAGTACAAAATCAAGTACATGAGTAGGAAACCAATCTATTTAAAAAAAACCCAAATGGCAAGTTTTCATTTTCACTAAATTCATTTTTTAAATGGATAATACACTGAGTTAAATATCAGATGCTCTTTTGTCTCATTTTTTTTTCATTTTTGTACTTTCAATGCATCTCAAACCTTTCCGGGAGAATAATGTTATGATTAGTGAGACTTGGAAAACACTGGAGAATGGGGGAGAGGCAGATACTGCATTTGGGAAAAAAAAGAAACATCACAAGAATGCTTAGCCCTTCAGATCATTCATAGGAAAGATCTGAAATATCAAGGAGCTATCTATTTCAGAAACTCATATGTAAGGTAACTTTTAGTGACTATAAAGACTGACAATTTTCATTTATTAAACCTAATCAGAAATAACACAAAAGCAAAATGTTAATTCTGAAATACCAACATATTTAATTTTCCCTGCATATTTTACTCTTATGAGAGAATTTGATTTTGAATCAATTCTAAAGTAATTTTAATTTTCCTTTTTTGCCTATCCTAGCCTATAATGAATGGTCTAATAAGAATATACTAGTTTTAGAAAGAAGGCCAGAAAGGCACCCTTAAGGTAAATTTTATGATTTTTTCAACCAGCCCCCCTGGTGGCCTTTAATAGAGCATTTCAGGGCCCTTTCTCTCATCTAGGTCCTAGTTTTTACAGTGGTATGCAGACAATTTGCATTTGCACAGGTTCAACTTAGCAAACCTAATAATACTTCGCAAACTCTATTCTCTGCTTCAATATATTTCAAAATGATTCTCCTCATCATCCCTGATAGAATTCTACAGCTAAGAATGAAATGGAACACATGCAGACATTCACTCTGGGGACATATTTGTGGAAATAGCATAATATTTCTTGGGTAGGTAATTACACCAAACACTAGTCACGCTTTACTTCCTTGTTTCAGGCTCTTGAAAATTTTTTCACAAATACAGTATGTTAATCCTAAACTATAAGAGAGAACAATTATACTGCTGGAGACAGAAATACAAAAGTAAAACAATACCTCTGAATTACAAACCACAAATTACAAATTTATATCACTATCTAAAAGCCAAATCAGACTCTAGAGTTGGGTGTCATTCCAGAGGCTATCTAACATAACCTTCCCAAGAAGGAATCCCACTACTAAAAGACTTCCCAAGAGTTAGTGAATCAACTTCCGTACAAAGACATTAAGTCTATTACTCTATTAGAGAGCAGTTCTGTTTAAATTCTTTTTAAAATACTGAGCAAAATTTTGACTATCCTATTAGTCTTAATTGCTGAAATCAGAGCAGGCTTTACTAAAAAGAATTGGGTTCCTGACCAACTACCATGGCTTACCTAAAGCCACCCAATAAGCTAAGGAATGGAGTTTGAACCCACAGGAGGAAATACCAGGTGAGAAATGTGATACTGGTGCAACTTTCATGGGGCTCCTGTGAGGTAAAAGTGAACAATGTGGGCAAACACAACCTGCACGTGTTACAAAGTTTTACAGGGTTGAGGACAATGGACACTTCATCTTAGCAATGTCTTTCATAAATTATGTTCTAGTCTTGTCATGATATATCAGATGAGAAATAAAACCATTTGTTAGTTGGCAGGGACATTTTCAATGGGGTGCAGAGATGAATTCTTTTAAAAACATATCACAGGGCTGGGGATGTGGCTCAAGCGGTAATGCGCTCACCTGGCATGTGCAGGGCGCTGGGTTAGATCCTCAGCACCACATTAAAAAAAATAAACTGAAAAATAAATAGTTAAAAATTCTCTCTCTCTCTCTTTAAAAAAAAATATCACACTTCTGGCCTGTATTGAACTTGTGGTCAGTTAAAATCCCAGATTTATTTACCCACATAATATACTGGTTGGTTTCTCATATATATTTTGTACCTAGAGGCAAGATGTTTTTCTTTTTTTAACAGTACTGGGAATTGAACCCAGATGTGCTCTAACCACTGAGATACATCCCCAGACTTTTATCAATTACTTTTCTTTTGACACAGGATCTTATTAAATTGCCCAGGCTGACCTCAAACTTGCCATCCTCCTCCCTTAGCCTCCCAAGTAGCGGGGATTATAGGTTTGTATCTCTGCACCTAGATATAAATGCATTTTTTTAAAAAAATATCTGTGTCTTTGTCTAAATCTTGGGCAACAATGTTTAGTAGGGTATGGATCAGGACAGAGCCTTCTGGTACTTCTAGACCCCTTTCATTGGGTACTTCTTAAATATTAATAATCTTCGGAATCTAAGAACGTTTAATAATCCAGTCTAAATTTCTTCCATTTTGTTCACATGGATGTTGTATCTGTCAAGTCTTGCTGAAATCTAGATAGAGTATGCCAACAGCATTCTCTAAGTCTGCTTTATAACTATAACCATACCAAATAGAAAATAAGGTTGCCCTGTTTCTAGTCAGAGTCTAACTAGGCAAACAGAAACAACTTAAAAGCCTACCTAGCAGAGGGACTTTAATATAGGGAACAGGTTGCTACACAGGTCATGAACAACTAAAATGACTAAACAGCAAGCTTGAGGTAACCCAGGGATTAGCACCAGGAGAAAGCCAGAGTGAGACAAACAGGATAAAAGTGTTATTGAAGCCAAAGGCCAGGTGCCCAGTGGAAGGCACAAGCATACTAACCCTGACATCTCTTCACCCCTTTCCTACACACCCTCATCTCTCCCATCCCGACCCCCAACCAGTGTTTCCCACTGGATTCCAGGAAGAGTGGAAGCTGGGGACACAGGAGCAGAAGAAAGGCAGTCTGTAGCCATTTGTGATATAAAGGTAGCAAGCAATGCAAAGAGCCTAAGGGACAGCACGTGTGACAATGGCCTTTGTAAGGGAAACTTTGATAATTCCCAGTTTTCATCTTCTTTTCTGTGAGTTCAAAGATTATTCAAATAGTTTCCAATATTTCTAGAAATTAATAGCCTACATTTGAGGAATTATGCTTACTTTTGTTGAAAATTAGAATGAAATTTATCTCTATTTGTTCTCATTAAGTTCTATTTCTACAACTTGTTGAAGGTTATCAAAAGTGAGATAAATTTCATTTGTGAGGCCTTGCAGTATCCTACAATCTTTTTTTTTTCCCTGCTGTAGGAAACCTGAATTATCATGCCAGGATCATGTTATTCCAGCTTTTTCTAACTAACTAAATACACACTTGCCTTTTTTCACTTATATTTTCTCAATGAGCATAACATTCCTATCCCCTCCCCACACTGGTGGCAAAACACTTTTTGCCTTTTTCTTCTTCTAATCTAGACACAGGCAATTTCCTTCTAACTTTAGTTCTAAACAGTTTCAAAACAGTCATAAGTTTGCTTTGTTTCTTAGTTTTTGCCATATACATTTCATGCAAGATTCAGGACATTTTTTTCCTACTAATTGATACTATTCTTCTGTATTCCTCCTTGGTTACTTATTAAACAAAGTTCGTATTCTTCTACAAATACATTCATTAGTATTTGTAGATTTAAAAAATTTGAAAACCTCTTCCTCATTTTTTCTTTTGCTGAAAAAAAAATATATATATATATACACACACCACAAGTGTGTGTGTGGCAGGGAACAACAGATCGACAGAGACAGACTCTTAGGGATCTTGGGCCTTG